GTATTCTGGTTGGGTTAGCCTTTTCAGGCTCACGGTTCTTTTTGGGTGGCCACATCGGGACATGCCTCTCTTCATGGGAGATTTCAGATTCTAGACAAGGAAAAGGCTATTTCCAACGGGTGCCGTAAACTGGGAGTGCATTTCCTTCTCGGTGCTTGCTTGTCTCCTTAATAGCTGTAGTTTATGTCTGCCATTAAGCTCGGGCGTTGTGCTGTGTGATATGTCTGACACGTTTAATTCGTAGACGGGCCAGTGTGGGGAGGGGGCTCTTTCTATTATTTTCTTACACCTCATTATTCTCTAAAGATCTTTACATATCTTTATTTAAGTGCCCCATTCCACAGCGCTCTCTGTGGTCCTTGTGCACATCGTATGGGGGTGGGTCCAGAGCATTTTTCCAACCAACGTGCGTGACCCCCTCCCCTTTTGTGTGTGCTTGTGTTGAATTGCTTACATCATGCACTTGACCGATGGAGAGGTGGAATCCAACCCCTACAAACAGTCTATGCTGCGGTTACTAGACTATATTGGATTACGAGGTTATGGCACGTCTGAGGCCACCATGCCAGAGCGCAGCGCGGCTGAACAAGAGAGGATCGCTCAACATCTTTTACGCGTAACGCAGGAAGCTCAAGGCAAGTCCACCCACACCGGAACGTTGGGTTTTGCGTTGCGATATGGATCGATAACCACCCCTGATGCGGCCGCGCAACCTACGATCTATTTAAGCGCCGAGGAGACGTTGGAGTGGAAAGCTTTTCTCGCTGGAACGCCCGTGAAGGAGAGGCATATGGTATCGGTGCGCAGACGACTTTCGCTCAATCTATGGCGCGCCCACATACGCGGGCTATGCCTGTGGTGCTGGTTCCCGATGGGTGTGTGCATGTGTGCGAAGCTGCGGGAGTACCGCGCCGCCCTCCCCGCGGAGGCACTGAGCGGCGCGTTTCAGCTCACTATCCTCCTCCACGCGGAGGAGGTATTCCGTAGTACAAACACGGGGCATCTCGCCGCCTTCTTGCTAGGGGCCCCTCTCCGAGTGTGGGGGGTGCCAGAGGACGACACCTACATCGCGCAGCTGCCGGCTACCTCCGAATACGCGACGATCGCGTCAGTGACGGTCGAAGGAGGGCAACATCGCTCGTGCGATGCCCCATACCGTGTCCATCACTTACTACTTTACCCTGAAAGGGGTGCGCCGGAACTTGATGGCTTTATACACGATCGTCTTCACACGGAACCTGTCGGAGCGCCGCGCACGTCCGCCAGTGGCGTTTCTTCCGCTCCCCCCTCTGCAGACAAGTTTCATTTAATTCTGCTTGATAGCACTTGGGGTCAGGCTCTGTCGCTCAACCGGCATATCTCGCGTTGCGTGCCGCGGGTTTCCTTGACTATCAGCAAGGAGTACGAAGCATTATTTTCTGCCTTACGGAAGCGAACGCGGGAGAGCGGTGTGAGCACGTTTGAGGCCATCAGCATGGCCATCGAGCAGCACCTGCATGCTTTGGGCATGCACGACGCATCGGCATTCGTCTTCCACACTCTCATAGGTGCGATGAAAGAGTTTGTCGACATGAGATGTCTTTTGAAGTTTACCGAACCTCGTTTCGAGCAGGAGGGCGATAAGCTGAAAGAGATTGTGCAGCAACGAGATCTCGCTCGGCGTGAGGAGGCTCAGCATCGACAGGAGCTGCTTGCATCGCGTATGCAGACGGATGCCGCCACACGACGGTTACTGCTGCCGCCTGTCCTCAACTATTGTTATTGCTGTGATCGCGTTATCGGGTGGCATCGCGTGCCGGAGCACGTGCTAGGGAGAAGGCATCATTCTGCCCTTTCTTTGAACCCCACGTGTGAGCCATCGAAGATGGCGAGAAGTTGCTTCATAGCAGACTTTTCGCGTCTTCCACGCTCACAATACGCTGAGGGTCACCATGGTGAAAAGGAGGAGGGGGAGGTTAAGCGAGGATAACTGAACTGAGTGCGGGCGAACATTTTTATTCACCATTACACGATTAATATTATAGGATCTGTAAAATGCAAGATTCTGGAATAATTAGCTACTTCAACCTTGAGTCAAATTTTGACCTACCTTTACAGTGCTTTCTTTCTCCCCTCAGTTACCCTTTTCAGAAAGGAAAAGAAAAAAACACCAATATAGTAAATTAGAACTACCTTTTTATCAATATTTTTTATACCTTCCAGTCTTGCGTATACTTTGGCTCACAGTATTTTAATTCGATAGTGGCTTTTACAAGTTCAGTTCATACATAGTCAATTGGGGTCTTTCTCTAGGTCTTGATACGAACTACGTGATTCACCAAGTGATAAATATTCATTGTTTTCTAACCCGATGGAAGAGCAATACGACGCGATTGTGTGTGGAACCGGGCTTATCGAGTGCGTGCTCTCCGGCCTGCTCTCGATGAGCGGTTATAAGGTTCTTCACGTCGATCGCAATTCGTACTATGGTGGCGAAAGCGCCTCGCTGAACCTCGAGCAGCTCTACAAGAACTTCAAGAAGGGCCCCCCGCCGGCCTCCTTGGGCAGCAGCCACCTCTACAATGTTGATCTCATCCCCAAGGTTCTAATGTGCGCGGGTGAGCTTGTGAAGATCCTTCGCGCGACGGTGGTGGAGCGATACAGCATGGAGTTCATGCTCCTCGACGGCTCGTTTGTTGTGAAGGACGGCTCGATTGCGAAGGTGCCAGCAACGGATAAGGAGGCGTTGATGTCGCCGCTCATGGGCTTTTTTGAAAAGCGGCGGGCGGCCAAACTTTATTCGTTTATGACCTCCTACAAGGAGGATGATCCACGTACACACAAGGGCTACAACCTCAAGACCATGACCATGCAAAAACTCTACGACGAGTTTGGGATCGGCAAGGATACGATCACCTTCGTCGGGCATGCCGTAGCGCTGCAGACTAACGACGACTATCTTTATCAACCCGCCTACAACACCGTCATGCGGTGTAAGCTGTATGAAGACAGCTTTAACATGTACTCTACCTCCCCTTACGTGTATCCGCTCTATGGGTGTGGGGAGCTGCCGCAGGCCTTCTCGCGACTTTCCGCCGTTTACGGTGGAACTTACATGCTCCAGACTCCTGTTGATAAGGTTAACTTCGACGCGAACGGGGTCTTTGAGTCCATCGAGCGTGAGGGCAAGAAGGCACACGCGAAGTTCGTTGTGGGCGACCCGTCGTACTTCCCAGATCGCGTCCGGGTGGTTGGGAAGGTGATTCGGGTGATCGCGATCATGGATCACCCCATCCCGGGGCTCAAGACCCCCGCCAAGTCCTGCCAGATCATCATTCCCCAGAGCGAGTTGAAGCGCAAAAATGATATGTACATCCTTCAGCTGTCGGACGAGAATAAGGTGTGCCCACCTGGAAAGTACATCGTCATTATCGGCACTGTCGTGGAGAATCTGAGCAACCCGGAGGCGGATGTGCTTCCCGGACTTCGATTGATCGGGCCTAGGCTTGAAACTTTTACTTCCATATCAAATCTCTACGAGCCGATGGAGGATGGCAGCACCAGTCGGTGTTATATCAGCAAAAGCTACGACGCGGCGACACACTTTGAGAGTGCTGCTGCGAATATTCTGGACCTTTTCAAGGCAATACATGGAAAACCTTATGATTTTGAAAGTATCAAGGACCCCGGTTGTGCTCGCTAATGCGTAAAAAGACTGATTTTAACTCCTGCATTGCAACTCGGATGCGCATGAAAGATAGGTTGAGAGAGAAAGAGAAGATGAAACAATAATATGCCTAGGTTTACGCTTTTCTTTTATAAAAGAAACATGTGGTGTGCATACGAATATCCTATTCTTCACCATACCTCTTTCTTAGAAAAAAAGGAGTAAACAGGAGTCTTTGTTGGTTTAGATTTATCGCTTTCGAAACGATATCTTTTAATTCTATTTTTCGTGATTCTGGCTTTTTTTGTGCTTGTATAGTAGCAGCGCACACGAGTTGTGTGGAAGGCTGCGGTGATAGCAAAGCAATGCAAGGAAATTTCCCAACAATGCAAAGACCAATTTCTGGATACAGTTGTCAGTCAGAGTGTAAAGTGATAGGTATTTTCTCCTCCTCTCCCGAGAGTCTCCCTTGAATTTAACACTACGCATCTGTCGTCCTGAGATGTTTGTGTTCTTGAGTATTTGTGCTTCCTTTCTGTTATTAATTTATCTCATGTTAATATTTTAGTTCCTCAGATGACTAAGCAAAACAAAAATTTAATTCTAAGGAATCTAAAGAACTATATACAGAGAAATTAGGGTATCAATCAAACTTAAGTGTTCATACAAACTTTTGTATATGCACAGATATCCATAACATAATACATAGATCTATAAATATATATATATATTTATGTATGCATGTATATATTCATTTTTGTTAAGTAAACACTACATAGACAACGAAACAAGGGCAAAAATCCACTCTGCTTGCAATAGAAATGAAACATTGAGATGTTGTGTCGGTTTGTTTTACTCATGTGAACCTTTTCATTAGATCTTTTTTGCTCCCTATAGAGCAGATTTCCCGCATAACTATTGATTTCTAGTTTCTAGAATCGATTTTAGCAAGTAAATACACAAATAACACTCTTTTTTCATATCAAAGGTGTGTCTAACCGATCACATTTAAGGACTTGCCTTATGTGCACATTTTAGAATATTTGGAATATTTTATGGTTTACCATCGTCTTCTGCACTCATCCCCACGTATACTTGCAGTGCATAGGCTTAGCAAAGAGACGGTGTCTGCCTTCATACTTCCTTTTATCCCTGAGCTCCACGAAAGACTTGTGATAAACACGCGGGTTACAACCCTCGCGCGGGGGTGTCGGGTTCATCAGTAGATGTGCGTATGAAAATGCCGTCCTTTGCACCCACAGTACACCGACACGTGTAGCATCGTTTCGATAATCATTCTGGCGTATTGCGGATGAGTGTTGCCTCGTTGAACTGCGATCCACGGTGTGGTCGATTATCTGTGGTACTTCTACCCCTTATCTCTTGTTATACCCTACTCACAATTGTTTCGCTAGTTTTTTTTTCGTGTACACTTCTATTGAATACGTTTTGCTTCTTGCTTTGCGAAACGTACCACACTCATCACGGGTGTGAAGTGGGTTGTTCCCCGAGCTCCACCACCACTGTAGGATGAATATGTGTTTTATTTAGTCGTTTCCCTTTTTATATTTCTTCTTCATGTTGTATTTATTGGCGTTCCTGTTGAATTCTCACCCTCTCTCTTTTTATCTTCTCGAAAACATATATTTTTATATATACATATATATATTGGATCAATTCAATAAATAAAATAACTCAAATATCTAAGGTTTCAGCGTCGACATTGTCTACCGTTTACTCTATCATCAGCTTCATCATTTTATACCCTTCCCATTATATTACACGCTGGAAAGGAAAAACAACCACTATCCATTCGTGTCCGATCCCAGAATCCCACAACCCTACGTGCGATGAAGAAGCTTCATCTTTTGATCGCTGTCATTGCGCTTGCGGTTGGTCTCCACCTTTACATCGACCGGCCCGTCCACTGGGTGTACGACGAAACCAAACTCCACGAGATCGCCCAAAAAGGGATTCAAACCGCGAAGGAAAAACACGGTGAAGCGTTGGAGCCACGCCTGATTATCGAGGAGGTGATCCGCGGCGTCCTCGAGGCCTACCCGACGACGACGCGCTACAGCGGGCGGTGGTTGTGGAACGTCGCGGGCGGGGCGATGGGGGCGATGACGGTCCTCCACTGCTCCTTTTCGGAGTACCTCATCATCTTCGGAACGGCGGTGGGGACGGAAGGGCATACGGGGCGGCATCTCGCGGATGACTACTTTATGATCCTCTATGGGGAGCAGTGGGCGGCGCTGCCGGAGGGTGACGCCACTCGGCGGGAGGTCTACCGCGCAGGGGATTCCCACCACCTTCCTCGCGGCGTCGCGAAGCAGTATCGGATGCCAAACGCCTGCTTCGCGCTGGAGTACGCCCGTGGGAATATCGTCTCAATGCTCTTCTTCGGGTTTGCTGATTCCTTCTTCTCGACATTGGACCTCGTGACGATCCAACAAACGCTGTATGAAAGCGCGAGCAACCTCCTCTTCAACCTCCTTCGTGGTAAAATTTAGGAAAAAAGAGGCTTTTCTTTTTACGAACAAGAATAGAAAAGCTCAGCCATTCAGTAGGCGAGGAGCTCAGAAAATCAGGATAGGAAATACTTATTTTTACATTTCGTTTTGAAACACATCAGCATATAGAACTTTTTAAATTTGAAGTTTTTTTTAGTTTGCATATGTGCACTATTTTTAGCACACTTCTACTAACGCATTTTGTCTTTTTTAAATGTAACTTTCTTACGGACCCCCTAAGCTTGAAGCCCAGAATATGGAGCTTTCTCAGTGGCACCAGTTTTGTGGTGTTCGAGCTCCTTTAGTGAGTTGCTGTGGTGAATTTCAGAATATGATATTATCTTAATTGATCGTGTTTGGTACCGAGAAAATCGCATACGAAACATCGTTTTGAGACATATCCCTGTACACCACTGAGTTTGTCTTTGTGAGGATTTGGGATTGGCGCACAGGTAGGCAGGAAAGATTCCAAACGAACGTTGACCAATTTGATTGCATCTCATCTTTAATTTAGTGGATGTATCTTCTCTCCCTTTGACCTTTTTTGGTTGGTGTACGGCCACAGAATTACCCTGATGCCTGATGAACGACCATCGACCTGCTACAGTTTCGTATTTTTGTGAATTAAGACCCTGGTCGTGATGCGGCATAGGATTCCTTTAGCTTAACAAGGTTCAGGTGCGCCACGTTACGATCCTGAAGATGATTATCCGTCCTGGAAAGACCAAAGGTTAGCGATACTCACGTAGCCGTATTCGAGGGGATGGCTTGTAACGAAATATTTTTGTTTTTAGTTTTATTTTTGTTTTTAAGTTTGGAATAATGGCACTTGGCGGGCGAGAACAAGGATGCATGGTATTGATGACATCCTGGATAGCATCATACATTATTTTGCTTTTCACGTTTTTATCCCCTTTCTTTCTCTCTTTATGGGTGTGGGTTGCAAAGTATCGGGTTCCAGAATAATTTTTTCTCGCGGGAAAGATACTTCTATTATCAGAGCTTGTAGGTAAAATTATTTATGTATTATATAAGTGTATCAAAAAGGAAGCATTTTTAAGCCTACAAACTAGTATTTAAGCCACTGAAATAATGCATAATACCTATTCAAGACAAGACGAGGCTCGTCGTGCCTTTGGGGATGTGGAGCAGTCCATTTTGGCGCACGGCCGCGTGATGGAAGCCTTTAATATAGAGGTCCGTAAGAACGGCGCGTTACGAAATCGCGCCGTGGTGCTCGCTGGGAGTGCGGGTGTTTGTGCGAGTGCGATCTGCTTGGGCTTCGTGCGCGCCGCGCCATGGCGGTTCGCCCATTTTTTCACCTTCAGCGATGCGGGCGGGGCGTTGGGGGCGGGGTCCGTCGCCGCTCAGGCCCTTAAAATGTTCATGGTCTCTGCGATGATGGGGCTAACCTTGGCCATCACCGCAACCACCTCGTTTAAGCTCGAGCGGGATATTTACGACCTGGAGCTGCGGCGAGAGATATGGGAGATCGAAAACCACCTAAGCGGGGAGCTGCAGGAGATGATTTCGATCTACAAGGCCCAAGGCCTTACGGAGGAGGAGGCCCTCATCGTGACGAGGATTTTTGCCAAGGAAAAGGATCTGTTCGCTAACTTGATGATGGTGGAGGAGCTTGGTTACTCGCGTTTGGTACCCCCGAGGATATCAGAGGCGACGATGAACGTGGGTATTCCGACGGTTGTGGGTTATGTCTTTGGATCCTTTGCCCCTATGTTGTCTTTACTTTTACCGCTTACTCTCGTTCGAAGCAAGGACGGGATGACGTCTCTGAGAGAATTGAGGGGCACTCCGGCGGAGCGGGTAATGTCATTGGTTCCGCGGCTTCTCCTTAATTCGATGGGGGAGATCACCTTGGCGGCATGCTGCGCGGTAATGGGTTCGCTCCACACGGAGGTGTTTTTTGGGGCCTACTCTCACCTTAAGTTAAGAGTGCAACTTATCGGGATGAGTCTGGCGGGTGCGGGAGCTGTTTATGCCTTGAGCTTTCTAACCGCCAAGTGCTTTTGATAGTGTAGCACGCGTGAAATCACTTGTGAATGCATCTCTTCATCTCCTTTTGATTGTTTCTCCATTTCAGACACGAATTGGTAATCTGTAGGTAAAAACGGGTCAAAGGGATAAGACTAAAGCTATACTAACAGTGCAATAAAATAACACAAGAACAGCGCTTCCTAGTTGCTAAAAATGATTGTAAACTGGTTCTTTCCACGTATTGATGGTTGCATGCACTAAATGAACCACTGAGTTATTTTAACTTTTTATATCTCTGTGTTATTACTTGTGTAGATATGTGCATACCTACATGATGATTTTAGGCTGTTACATTCATATGATATGCATCCTATTGGATGCGTTTATTTTTGAGAAACGTATTATATTATCATTGCTGGTTCATCTTGTTTCTACCTCCAGCTTGAATATTTTTTTAGCGTATCAGATGTCATTTCTTCTTTTCTGGCCCTGCTAGTAGGGTGGTGTGGAGTAGTAGGCTAGCTAGTGGAGAGATTCATCATTAGAGGGCTGCTAATTTTAATTTCAATTTCAGAGTGGATGATTTTCTCTTTATTATTATTTTTTTTTTTGGAATCATTTCAATTGACTTTATTCGAAATTAAGTGCATACACATATCAGCCAACTCCTATGCTTCCCTGAAGAATGGATTATTATTACTATTATTTTTCTTTCTTTCCTTTTTTAGAGGAGACGGTTTGTCAACCTAGACTGTCACTTTACGATTAAAATTATTACACTTCCCACCTTCTGATACCTTTTGTGGACCCAGCATTCCCAATACAGGAATTCACATCCGACCTAGAGGAAATAATATCCTAACAACAACTGTAGATCTACACCTAATTACATTATCAACTTTTCGTCTATTCGTCACTTCTATCACCCTCCGATAGCGATGTAGAGGCAACATGCGATGATGGGTCTATGATATCCCGATTAAAGGAGCCACTTCGGGTATATTGGAATGTTTTCGCCCTGAGGCTTACTCTTTAGGACTGCCTTTGTATATATCTATACGTGTTTGTATATCTTGGACTTAAGGGGCATATTGTCAAGGCAAAAGGTATTCACCCCATTGTCGAAAGGAAAACTTGAAGGAGGTTGTGGGGGTACGCGAACGCTTGAGACGGATGTCTCGGTAAGCCATTGACGTATAAGAAAACAGCTTCCCTTTACGTCTTTGCGACCCTTCTTTTTCCTGTTTGTTGGGACTCTGGGAAGATGCCATCAATAACGGCTGGCATGCGCAGGGGTTTTACTGAAGGGCCCTTGGTTGGGTGCCCCCTTCCGTTAATGCGAGGGAATGAAAGTCAACGAAGATCTAGGGAATGATAAGGAGAAAAGAAGGCGGCCAGTGATGTCAACGCGGCGAAGAGACTATGATAAGGAGCGCATGGCTTTGTCAATATAAGAGACGCTTACCGGTTCAGCGTCGTTTGGATGAGCTTAAGCTGCAGTTGCTAATACAGAAACAGACCGATTTGGACCTGCAGGCCTTAGTGTCTTTTCCAGCAAAAATGAGGGACCCCTTTGACATCGAAGGTGAAGGTGAGCTTTTAGTTTCTAAGGGGTGGGGTAGGGTGTGAAAGGCGAGATCTGGGCTACATCTGGTCATGATGAACGCCCCAACAGGGTAGAAAAGTGGCGGGGGATCGCGGCTGTTGTGGCTTTCTTCCTCGATGAGCTTCTCCCTCCCAGCGTTGACCGGGTGCTCTGCACTGACGGGAAAGATTCCCCTCTGTGGATTTGGCTTCAACAAGCCTCACCGTACGGGTATTCGAAAATCTTGTTTTCATCAAAACATCGTTTGATACGATAAGCGCGTACAGAATGATCGATTTTGCGGTCCACACCACATGAGCATCTTTTTTTTCCTCTGGACCGATATCCGGCATTTTTTTTGGGCGAGCGCGCTCAGGAGGGTTGACAGACTGTATTGCCCCACCCAAGTGTCTTCTCCTTTTATACTGTCTCCTTGATCCGGGGATTGGGATCTGCGCAAATAAGCTACGACTCCGAGGACCTAATGCCATTCAAGAGAATGGATGTGCTTAATAACTTGCTAACTAAGGTGGCAAGTCGAGATTGCGCGAAGCGGATTGCACCGTATCGTGGATATATGAATGGCATTCAGGGGGAGTTAATATAGAGGCTAGTTAAACGGGTTAATACTTCAAAAGTTGAGGTTTTCGGGCTGGTGATCTTTTTAATCTTTGTATTTCCTGATCTGTTTTTTTTGTAGCTTCATTCCTTCTTGCACCTTCTACTGCTCAGGTGATGCATTCTCGTATTTAGTGCTCTTTGAGATCAAAGTAGGATACCCAATTACATCATGTATCCAGATTGATCATATTGGTGTACCTTTTTCTGAGCGGTATAACCAAACGGATATACTATGTATAGTGAAAAGTGTATGAAGACCAGATATAACAAGGCATTGGAAACCAAGATAACGCGTCTACTTTCCCTTTCACAGTGTGCTACGAAGAAAAAAAAGACGTATCTTTCAGGCATATGACATGCGTGAAAGTGAACACTTATTGTGTTCTATCTAGTTATTATGATTCCCACAGTCCTAGTGGCGACAACAATGTGGGTGCTCAAAGTCGAGATTTGATTCGGGAAAAAATGGGGGAAGGTGGAGATTATGTACTTTTGAAATCTAGAACTACATCTCAATTCTTGTTTCATCCTTATTTTTTTTTTTGATGAAGTATCTACAACAATAACACCCCGTATAAAGCCCTATAAAAAGTAAAGGGGCTTGTTAGATATCCTTGTTAAGGGGCGTAATGACTTCTCAAGGTCAGGCGCCGTTAGCTTCCGAATGGAACGACGAGAAAAATGCTAGCATTGACTGGACAGATGTTGAAGATGTTTCCGGCAATTGCTTCACATTTTTACAGATTCTTATGGCACACCCGCGCCTAGACGCATTTTTTGATCAGCATAGGGACGAAAAGGATTTTTACAAGGCTATGTTTCTTTCTTGGGAACACCGCAGCGAGCAGGCGGAGGCGCTGAAAAAATGGAACGAGCAGCAATTATTATCGCTCCGAACGGCAAGGTGGTGTAGGCATTGCGGATTTGAGGGGCATACTCGTGCCCGTTGTGCGCAACGAACCAAAAAAGCTGACCCCCAGGAAGTGGACGAGGCAGGAAAGGATGTAGGGACTCAAGCTACGGGTACGAGTGATAAAGCTCGGGATACATTTGTGTTATCGCAGCCTGCTCCGTCATCAAAGGTAATGGAGAAGTATCGTGCCCACCAGCAGCATCTTGCACGTCTGAAGCTGTTAGGAGAAAAGACGAAGCGGCTTGAGAGCAAGGCCGGGAAAGGGGATTCGTCCCTCGTAAGTGCGAATCGTACTCGTAATGGTAACAATAATAGTGGATACAATCAGAGGCAGTATAATAGTCCACATGTAAAGGATAAGAACACAGAGGCTTCCTTGTTCACAGAGGAGCGTCGACACGGGACAATCAGCCGACTGGATGTGAGCAATGGGATTGGGTTTTTACGCATGCAGGACGCTAGTGAGGCTAAATTTTTTCTAGACAACACCGGCTACGGTGTCAAAAGCATCGCTGTGGGGGATTCGGTTTACTTCAGGATGGACGAATCCCGTGGTTTCCCTGTGGCTAGTGACGTCCACCCGGAGAAACCGGTGATTACGGAGGCTGACGTTGTCAAGTTTATCACTCGCTGTAAAACACACAAGCAGCCCATCGTCTTAATCACCATGCTTCTGATGCATCGCCATGAGTGGAATGAGGTACTGGTCTGGATTCGGTCTCTGGCCGATCGTGAAGCCTTCGCCGATGCCGTCCACACCTTGGTTGAGCTGATTACCTTTATCGAAAACCGTGAGCCGATCCACTTGAATATGTTGGAGGCATTTCTATCCCTAACGATTGAGGATCACAGCGGTAGCGCCCAAACGAGCACGACGGTGGCGGTGCCACCTCGTCAGACAGAGGCTGCGGAGGCGAAGGTCGGGGGGGGGAAGGCATTCTTCCTTGACATGGTGCAAGACGCCCTTGAGTGGAATGATGAACTTACCCGGACGATAGGTTGCAACACTGGGGCCACGACCTCGCCACCTTCCGGCACAAACAAGGGAGGAAATGACCAAATCGAGCATCCCGGCCATGGAAAGGATAGCGAAGCCGCTGAGATGCGATTGCTTCGGTGTTCCGAGCGATGGATTGAGGTGGTGAACTATTTGATCCTTTTGCGGCAATACACCAATGTGGCATCAGCCCGCTTGGAGCGGGTGCAGCAGTCTTTATTTCATCTCCTTGAGATGCGCATGGCCGCCTCTCCGAGGCCGGCGAATTACTCCCAACTAGAGAATGCCCGTCATAGACTTCAGTCCTCAACAGCGGCTGATCGTGGATCCGCCATGTTCATCCCTTCCGCGAAGGAGTTTTCGGTGCCGCCGCCCCTACCACAGTCCCCATTCTTCCCTGCGAATCTTCCCATCAACGGCGTCGGTTTATACAGCTCCCAGGAGGAGTTTATCCGCGCGCAATGCCAACTCCTACGGGCAGACACCTTCGAAGCCACCAGCCGTCTCATGCCGTCCCTGTGCTACCAGCTACCCGATTACGAGCCGAGCAAGGAGACGAAGTCCGATATGGAGCACGCACGTCTCTTTGGGAAGGTTCGTTTTCTTGCCAAGGTTATTACCGATGATCGGGACTTCGGCCACCCGGACAGCTACATTCTGGAAGTGCAGCCCATGAGCGCCAAGGCCAATCTCTCCGCGCAGCTTCTTCAAGGCGCGACGGTCTGCATCACCACGAGCCTGAACAGAACAGAGATCGAGGATACGGAGGTTTTCTGGGGTACCGTCTCCTCTGGTAACTCAAGGTTGCTCAATGTGAACGCTATCGTTGTGATGCCATGTGAGTTTAGCACACCCTTCACGGTTCTGCAGGAGAATTTGTTGCGCAACGAGACGGCCGGGCGCGATGACTGCTCCTTACTGATGGAAACCCCTATATTTATGTCGGGGTATATGAGTATTATGAAAGCTCTACGTGCCTTTCTCGGACCTCTGGCGATGCCACTCCCTATGGCGCAGCAGATTATTCAGACGAAGCCCAAGGAGGCGGTGACGGCCGCCTCTCGCAGGGGTCGACTTCTCTCCCACATTCCTCTGCACTGCGAGTACGCTTTTCAGGAGCTCATAGTCGACGTCCGCGGGCGTTTTATACTGGATGCCGGACAGGACACCCTCATGCAAGAGCTTCCGTACTCCAAAGTACTGCTGGTGCAAGGCCCACCTGGGACGGGTAAGTCCTTTATTGGATGTCGTGTGGTGGAGACCTACGTGCGGTACAAACAACTTCTCGCCTCTGGGGATATTCTGCAGCGTGTGGACGTGGACTTGCTGACATCCACTCGTCTGGATGCGCTTTTGCCAGTGATGGGTCCGATCGTGGTCATTACCTATAAGAATCACGCCTTGGACGAGTTTCTTGTGGATATGCTGAATTGTGGGCTTTGGAATGAGGGGCGGCCTCAGACAGGGCAGCAGCTGGCTTCGGTGGCGGCCTTGGACGGTCCGAGGGGCGTGGCCGGAGTGACCAGCAGCGTGGGGAGCCCCGACATGTTCCCAGGAGGTCGACGTTTGGTGCGTATTGGTGGCCGCTCGAAAGAGCCACGTCTCGACCCGCACAACCTCGGCTCCCTCCTCCATTCAATGTCGGATAAGTCCGCGATCAAGAGCCTCCGAGAGCGTATTTTTGTGCTGCAGCAAAGGATCGAACGACTTACAAAGGAGATCCACTACCTGGAGAAGGGCAAAGTGCCCAAGACGTACTTCCTGCGCTGGTTGACGCCTGAGCAGCAGCAGCACATCACCTTCGAGGAGCGAGAGGAGTGGCTGAGAGGTGAGCGTTACATCGGAGAACCCCTAAATCGACCCAAGGTGGATCCAAAGCTTTATTTGGAGATTCTGTCCACGAAATTGGGAGCCGCATTGGAAGCAGGGAATGTCCAAAAAGGTCTTGGGGACGAAAGCAAGAGGGAACAACACAATTCTGAGTTGATTTCGGGGCCTGCGGTTGTCCTTCAAAAGGATGGAGATGCTGAAACCGAGGATGTATCGCTGAGTGTATTTCAAGAAATGAAGCGAGAGAATGAGAGCCGCGAGCTCAATAGTGCGCTTGACGGTAACTATCTCTCTAGGGAGGCGATTAACTTAGCTAACAACCCGCCAGCGCGTCCGGAGGAGGTGCCCGCCGAATTCATGTCTTTCTGGAGCTTGGATCCAGTAACGCGGCATAAATACTACGCGTACCTCATCCAACGCACCATCTCGGTAAAAGCCAAAACCTGCCTCGCTTTGATGAACACCCTGTTGAATGTCGTCCAGATACGTAACCATGCCATCGACGAGGCTAAGCTCAGCCTGCTGCGCGGCGCGGATGTGGTGGGCGTCACCACCACCGGCTGCGCTATGAATCAAAATCTCATTCGCTCGCTCCGTCCAAGTGTTTTGGTGGTCGAGGAGGCGGCTGAGGTGTTGGAGATGCAATTGCTAGCCTGCATGACGGACTCCCTGAAGCAGATTATTCTCATCGGCGACCATTTTCAGCTTCAGCCAAAGGTGGAAACCTTCATGTATGAAAAGGTAAACCGCCTGAACCTGTCTTTATTCGAGCGATTGGCGACTCATATCTCGCCGATCCGGTTGACTGAGCAGCGTCGGATGCACCCTGACATCGCGACGCTCATACGGCCTTTTTACGACCCACAGCCGCTGATCGATCACCCGTTGGTCTTGCAGCGGCCCTTCGTGATGGCGAGCGGCGCGCTTCTGTACAATGGGGTGCCTGGTCTTGTCGAGCGCGTCTTCTTCTGGCGCCACGACCACCCAGAAGAGGAGCCCCCTGGAAGTCGAAGCAAGATCAACACACGCGAGATACGGATGGTTCAGCAGGTGGCTCAGCTGCTCGTATCGGAGGGGGTTTTGCAAGGATCCATCACTGTTATCACGCCCTACCTGGGGCAGTGCCGCGTGCTGCGCAGCGTGTTACGGCTCTCGTCGTTACCCAAGGTCCGCGTCAGCACGGTGGATCTCTTCCAAGGAGATGAGAACGACATCATCATCCTTTCTATGACTCGAACCGAAAAGCTGACGGAGTTTATTCGCATGCGCAATCGGTTGATCGTGTCGTGCTCACGAGCTCGTTTTGCAATGGTGATTATTGGCAATGACACCTTACTCAAGCAGTGCGAGCACTGGGCGCAGGTGCTCAAATACCTTGAGGAGAAGAAATGTGTGGGGACTAAGCTGCCCGTCAGGTATCGCGATCGTCCTGGGAAAGTTGTGTGGATGGAGGCCGCGGGAACGATATCGGCTGAAAAGTTGACAAAGGAAATCGAGGCAAGCCTGGCCTCGGTCACTCCCGCTGAGGCCGAAAGTGATGTGAAGGAAAAAGAAAATCAAAGTAGCATTCATTCTATCATACCAGGGTAGAGTTTAAGCTGCAGGTGACAACGAGAGGTGCTCCTAAATGTAACAACCTTCGAAAGGATATTGGGATTCCCCTCTATCCTCATCATCATGGGGGGTGCAGATGACAGCTTGTTCCCTACTATGTAGGGAACAAATTCCTGCTTCAAATTTTTGATATTTCAAGCTGTTGAAGATCGACTTAATGAATACAAGAGCAGTTAGAATTCCTGAGCACATACACACAAACACACACACACACACACACATCGAGGAGCTTTTTAATTAAGGGATATCTGATACTTGCAGCAATGAAATGTACTTCTTGGTGGTGCCTGTTGTTGTTTTGTTGTAAACCGTCCATCATAATCATCACACGGTAACATAAATGCATATCCTTCAAAGGGAAAAATACTAAAGGAAGGGATACACCACGTGGTGCTTTGTTTAGATTCATGTACATGCGTAATTATCGGAACCAACTCTCTATATCTTTCCCATTTAATTGTACAATACATATAAAGGAAACACTCGAAAAAGTGTGTATGCACAAATGAGTGAGGTGAATGTATTGCATTTGCTCAGTGTGGCCTATAGCGGCACAAAGGAGGAGCGTACCTCCGCCACTGCGCAGCTTGAGTCCCTTTTTAAAAGTGATTTGGCCCCGCATTATATCCTGACAGTCCTACGCTCGGCTGTGGATTCAATGGTACCGGTAGAGCAAAGCCTTTCGGCTCTTATTTACGTAAAGAATTGCCTCATGTATACAACACCCGAGGAAGTTCTTGCGGAAACACCGGAGATATTCGAGCAAATTAAGCAAACGTTGTTTACTGGAGTTTTCCAGGTCCCTGCGACGCACCGAAGAGTGATCTGCGAATGCGTGTCGACGCTTATTAGTGGCTTCAAATGGAATTTTTTGGGGGAACTTTTGCCGATGGTAGATCAACTTTCGATCGGTGGGAGTACACAGAAGGTTGCGGACACGTCCACCTTTGCTATCTCAGAGCAAGCGTCTGCAGTTCTGGAGATGCTCTACACCTACACCAAACGATTCAAGACCCCTAACCTAGAGCCCATGCCTCTTAAATTGCACGTTTGCTCCGCCCTAATGAAGCCTTTATTAGGGTTTCTGGAATATAATAACTTTCATATATCAAAAATGGTCTTCAAGGTTGCCGAGGGTGTAGTGGAGACCGCATTGCAACAGCGAAACGCCAAGGTCATCCCTGCGGATTCCTTTGATGAGTGGTTCTCTTCTATGGTCGGGTTCTTAGAGAAAAAACATCAAGACGCCTCCGTGGTGGGTGGGAAAATTTATGAGGAGTACGTCAAATGCGTCAAGCGGATTGCCATGATTAGCTTCAGCGTCATGAACGATGCAACCCGCCACAAGAAGCCCGCACCGGTAGCTACGCGTTTCCTAAAGGTGCACGCTGCCACCTTTTTCGGGATATGGCAGGGTTGGTTGGGGTTTTGCCTCCAGTCGCCCGATCGTGAGAGGCACCGGAAGAGCGAAATGTTCGCAATTCAATACCTGAAGATGTGCACGCTGGATGAGGCGCTCTACACCGGGTATATTCGCCCTGCCGCGATGTCGATCATCGAGCACCTGCTCTTTCCGTATTTATGCTTCGGGGATGAGGATGAAGGGGCGTTTGCGGACGACACCGATCTTACCGATTACGTGCAGTATATGATGGATGAAGGGCTTGATGGGGGGGAGTTCACCCCACGCCAGGTCGCCTCCCACGCGATCCTCGCGGTAATCGGGGGCAAGAAGCGTTTCCACGACGCCCCAGGGATGTTGCAGGCCCTTCTTCACGTCCTCACCGCCGGCCTCGCGTTGGAGACGAATGAAACGAACTTTCCACGCCTCTTTGGGTTTCTTCAGCTGCTGTCGATCCTGCGGCGGTATCTGCGCGGGGTGGGAGAGGTCTGGGAGGGGCAAATGGCGCTCGTGCTGATGCGCGACGTGGCGCCACGGCTGCGCGCGGAGGTCGAGTTCATTCCCCTGCGTTGTAAGGCCGTGGAGGTCTGCCAGCGCTACGCGAAGGTGCCGATGCCGACCGAGCACGATTTTGCCGCCTTCATCGCGATGATGGGGGGTCTGATAGGGGACGGCAACGCGCGCGTGCGGCTCGCCGCGATTGATGCGATGTGCACCCTCTTGGAGATGAAACGGGCGCGGCCGTACCTCCTCCCCGTGCTCGTTCCCCTCGTGGAGGAGTGCATCGCGTTTATGAATCGCGTCCAGACGACGTTCGTGCCGACCGTGATTTTGCACCTGGCGACGCACTTCGCGCCCGAGATGGCGTCGGTGATGGGGAAGCTTGGTCGCGCCCTCGTGCAGCACTTCCTCGCCAGCGCGTTTGAGCTGGAGCAGCGGCAGCAGCAAGAGTTGGAGATGGATTCCGATAACCTCGCCCACATCGAGCAAATGGCGCTCTCGGCGGATGCGCAACTCGAGGCCATCTACACGGTGGTTCTCTCCTGCAGCGAGAACAAGCCGGCTTTTCTGGATATGCGGGCGGACATTCTGAGGCTCATTCGAGCCATTATCGAGCATTCTGAATCCTTTGACTTCATGGAGAAGGCGCTGGACATCTTCCTGCACGTGGTACGATTCTCCGAAAGTGAGATTCCGAGCGAGGCCTGGGAGCTGCTCCCGGTGCTCTTTCAAGCGGTTGACTCCGGGGTGGGCGTTGATTTCTTCGTTAACATCGAGGAAGTGCTGGATAATTTCGTATCCGGGGTACCCCTGGCGTTTTTAACCAACGCGCCCATCATGGAGGCTACCTTCAATGCCTGTCAAAAAATGCTAATTGGGGGCGTTGTGTGCGCGCCAGACTGCAAGATCGCCGCCGCGAAGCTCATTGAGGCATTGCTGCATCAGGCAAAGGGATGCAGCGAGCACCCCGGCATTTTCGACGCGCATCTTCCCTATTTCGTGAACTTACTTCTCAAGTCCCTTGTTCATCCGGATATGCAGGAAAACCCGGATACCCATCTGCGTGTTTGGATCGTAGCGGCCTTGATGGACTGTTTTTTCTTCAACGCCCACATTACGTTTGATACGCTGGTGCAGTCAAACGCCTGCGATCATTTTTTCCATGGCTTCTTCCACCTTTTCCGGGGCTGCATCCCTCAATTCGCCGCTGCAACCGCCCACCGCGCAGCTCCCATCGCATCCAGGAAGAAAAACGGCGTGAAATCGCTCAAGAAGAACCCGGAGGATGCGGAGGCGGCCGAGGTGGTGGAGAGTCTGTCGATTCTCACCCGAAAAGTGATCATCCTCGGTTTGACGTCGCTGATGGAGTTCGTGTTGGGGTGTTGTGAAGGGGGGCAGTCGCGGGTGGGGGCGGTTTCGGAGCCGACGGCGCTCGCCACTCGTTTGTTCGTCGAGCAACACCTCCCGAAGGCGGTCGCGCTTGTGCAGTACTGCATTTTCACCAATGAAGGGTTGTACGCGGCGCGGTGTCGTGTTTCCGAGCGCAGTTTACACGACATCCGCACCGGCGCCGACACCGAGGGGGACGACGACGCCGATCTGCACGAGGATGACGAGATGGGGCTCGACGACATCAACGCGACGTCCGATGACGACGACGATGACGACTTCGCCGAGATCAACGACGACGACGGGGATGAGGACGGCCATTCCAACCCTTCCGATGACGAGGGAGACGACTACGAGAGCCCGATTGATGATATCAATGAGGTTCAGTTCTTCTTGCGATGGTTGGGATCCTTCATGCACCAGGCGCAGCCAGGTGTGGGCGCGCGAGAGTCCGTGCTGGCTATTTTGAGAGCCGAGAGTGAGTACGTAAACGCGGAGCAGACCGCCCAAAAATACAGGCAACTCTGGAAGGAATTGGAAGAGGCGATGCGCCAGGACTTCCAAACGCGGCAACGGCAGGCGACCGGCTAACAGCGATTAAATTCCCATTCGAAGGGCAAGGGAAAGGTCTGATGCATACCCTCGCTCGTCCTTCTTACCTACCTCCCCACGCATGGGGCTTTTGGTGCCTTTCGAATCGGGTTGGATTGAACTGGTTATTTTTGCTTATCTTATTGTCTGTGTCCGTTGTCTAATGCATGTGATATTTTGGAGTAAAGTCATAACATAGTAATAAATAACACTAATCTGGATAAATTTAAGAGGAATACTAACGGAGAGAGGTTGAAAGCTGCGCAACTATATTCTCATAGTCAAGTGAAACTTTTCTATTTATGGGTATTATGAGTTGAAGTTTATCTATTCTCCTTTTCATTATATAAAGACTTCTTTTTTTCAGACTAGCTTCTCCCGCAAATCTTACGCCCTCGGAGCGTTTTAAGTTGTTTGTGGAAAATTATCTTTTGAGGAACAAATAGCGACTCCTACATATTCATAGACGCTATTATATAAAATAAATATGAAAAAAAAGGTAAAAATACTAAACTAATTCAGCTTTTTGTGTCTAGCATTTGTATTCGACCTGAGCGGAGCCACGTGTATCGTTCTGGAAGAGTATAAACAGGGAAATTCTTTCTTTAACTTCGTACAAAAGGGCAGCCTATATCCTATCATCAGCAGATTTCCGAGCGTTGAGCATACAAGCATAAGAACCCGTTTCAGTTCCGATCTATTTGAAATGTCCGATCATATCGTTGAGGATCGACTTCTTAGCTTCGAGGAGGATCAAAGGTGTAGCTTCTCCTACGGAAGCCAAAATAACGTCCTTGAAAGCCATAACCCCGATTGTGGTAATGGTAAAGCGAAACCGGGTGACTTTTCGAGGTCCTCTTTGACGCGGGAAATCTGTCCAACGACGTTTGGCAACAACAGTCTGTTTTCTTTAACCTCGATGCCCTCTGATGAGGAGTTGGGGGACCAGCCCAACTCCATGCGTTCCAATTCGTTTCTGTCGATTTTAAATCCGGGCACGACGGAGGGTGAAATCGGGAAAGTCTCCGCCAAGAGCGCGTCGTCGGCGGTCTTCAACAAGAAGTGGTCGTCTCCCGAGCCGTGTTTACGCGGCCCGACGAGCATTGTTGAGGTGTTGCTGGAATGTAGCTTCGACACCCGCGTCTCTGGCAATGATAGTCTGGCGGATCGCATCGGAGGTAAGTTATCACGGCGGCTGCTAAATCGGGATATGAACGCCGCGTCGGCTTCCTTTCGAGGTGATAGTGTTGGGGGTGTCAGTCGGCGTGGGAGCAACCACTACGCGAGCGTGAACTCACAGATTAAAGGTGTGATCGACCCCCAATCACTTTCCGTGAACGACTCCTATCGGGTATCCAGCGAGGATCGGAGCTTCAATGGTAGTAAGGCAGAGTCTGCGGCAATATTGCAGTATATTGAAGATGTCCGAAAAACAATCGAGCAAAGTGCATGGAAGCCGAAGCGTCTTCACTTCACCTCCCCTCCAAAAAGGCATGAAGGGCAGATGAGTCGTCAAAAGAGCCGAACGACTCGTGATGGGGGGGCTAGTAGCGTCACCTCATTTAGTTCTCCTCGACACTTGGTTTCGTTCGAACACTTTGATTCCGGCAATCTTCAGAATGCGACCTTGTTTGAGCCTGAGCATCAACGCAAGAATGTTGCTTCATTTCACATGAAGGCGAGAAAAAAAGACACCTAGACCCTTATGTAACCCCCCTCCCCCCTCCTTATCATTACCATACCTCCAAAGCGTTATAATGATAAGGTACTCATTCAGGGTGACTTAGATTCTGTTGCGTGTCTGCTTTTGCCCTTTGTAAAGAGGAAAAAAACACCATTCTGGTGAATTCACCACGATTCCCATATCAATGATGTAAACAGCGCCGTAAACGGTGCGTTTGTAGTATGGGATTGTGTATGTCTCTTTCATTACTGGGGTGGTACCTAAAGCCTAGTCGACGGTGTAGGTAAGCTGTACATTGATGAAAAGGAGAGGGGGAAGAGGATGATAACAACAGTAACATGGGAGCTAGTATAAACTAAATTTAAAAATAATTTTGGATAATGTTACGCTCCTATACTCCGCTGCCATCGCTTCGTGCCCAAAGAAACCCTATAGCAAATTCTCTTGAAGGGGGTTAGAGCACAACTATAAGGGAATGCTTTAATATTCATCACAATAGATTCACGTGAGCAGGTTTTTATTTAGGGGAATCTGTTTTACTTTTTTGTACTTTTTTTTTAATGGATTGTGTCGTGTATAAGCTTCATAGATGATTTTTCCCGTAAGAGCTTTTCACAGTAATGTATTTTGAAATGAGGAATGTTAGAATTGGATTTTTCACAAAGGGCTCATGGAGTAAACTATTTCAATACATACGTAGATTTTACTATTTTCCTGCATTCATTTGGTTGTTTTGTGTTTATATGATCACATGAAATTCGAAGACAACCCACGTCCTCTACATTTGTTATCATGTTTACAGGATTGATAACGGGAAAAAACAGATTCTAATGATAAATCTTTTTGTGTGTTCATTTTTGTCTTTTTTTTTTTTTTGCTTAGCAACACCAAACTTGGAGACCCCATGAATGTATTTATTTGACTTTCATGCAACCGACCACAAACGAATAATCATGATACCACTATTTTTTATTTGATTACACATTTTTTCTTTTTAATGTTTAATTCTTTTTACCGTGTTTTTTTCATGCATCTGCATTGTTATACATTCTTATTTTCTTGCATTTAATTTTATCTACTTAGCTACTTTAATGTGAATGCTTTTTAGTCTAATATGCTCGTTCGCATACTATATGCCAAGCCGACAGGATTTTTAAGTGTGATAAAGCTGAGAATTCGTAGATTTGATATCTTGAATGAATTTAATTAAACTTTTTGGAAAATCTTCAAACTAGCTTATCAGCCTTTCTTAGTTTCTTTTTGAACCTTTAAAAATTTCTAGGTTGGTGCTTTTTTCCTCCTCCATTTCTGTGTGTGTGTGTGTGTGAAATCTGTAGTTGTTTTTTTCTATTTCATTAAGAAAAAACAACCACCTGCGTATCCACATATCCCTCCCCCCCGTTGGACCTATACTGTTTGGTCTCTACGTAGAGGAAAAGGACTCAAAAAAGATAATATCAAAAACCTATAACAATATCTACCTCTTTATAGGTAGATAGATCCATTAACTTTTTGATATTATGTCCGCCTTGTATGACAATCCATTCGCTTCCGAGGGCGACGGCGAGGAGGAGGGGCGCGCGGGGTTGGGCGAGCCCCCTTTAACCGTTCACGCGAGTGGCGACTTCGCCGAGGAGGAGGGGGCGCGGCCGCTGAAGCGAGAGCGCGTGGAGGCCCCAGATGCGATCCTTTCCGCCCTCACGGAAGGGGAGAAAGGGGGATCGTTCACGCAGCCTCGCCTGGAAGAGGAGAACCCCCTTCCTTTCCCTGATGGGGAAACCAACGACGATCCCGGGGTGGGGGTGGGGGATTCCGCGGCCGCCCCGCTTGCGGAGGCGACGACGTGCGGCTACGCCCTCGCCGACGACGAGGACGGAATCGAACCGGCCTTAGACGAAGGCAAAGCCCGCGATGCCATCGGAGGCGACGACGACGACGACGACGCCGAGGACGAGGAGGATGAGTATAGCGCGTTGTTGCTGCAGGTGGCGGAGCTGAAGAGCGACCTAGGTGGGATGCGCACGCGGCATGCGTTTGAGCGCCGCATGGCGGAGCGCGAGACGGAGACGCTGGAGCGCCACCTGGAGGCGAAATCGAGATGCGTCGCGAGGTTTCAGGAGATTCGCCGCGAGCAGCTCTCGCGTGCGGAACGGGCATCCACGTTGCCCCTCCTCGATGGGTTTGCCGATGAGGCGGCGGTTGGAATCGACGCGTCCGCGCACCCGATTTTGACGGCGGCCGCGCATGACGTCAGGGTAACCGCCGCCTTGCTATCGCTCGCGGCGATGACGACGACGTACAAATTTCAACAGGCTCAGATCCTCAAGCGTCGCCACCTGCTCCACGATCTCGCGCTTTGCCCGACCAAATCCCGAGTCGATTCGCCCGAACAGGTGAAGCAACTTTCCGCGAGGCTCCTGCAGTCCATCGGGGAGGGTTCTTCCCAATCAGGGTGTTTTCCCGCCCGAACGCAACCCGATCTGAGCACGCAAGCCGACGAGGGCTCCCCTTCACACGTCCTGCAAGCCTTCACGCACGCTTTTCGGCATTTACCCCACCCCTCCCTCCGGCAACAGGAGGCACTTGAGGGGCTTTTGGAGGAGCTATCTCGTCTTTCGACGTGTCGGAAGGATTTGGGGGGTTATTGCAGCCGTCAGACCGCGAAGGAGGCCGCGATGGAGGAGAAACTAAAGGCGCTTCTCCTGCCCACTCAGGAATGGGGGGTGATGGCCGCACAGGCGATGTTGTGTGATGAGGAAAAGCACCTCTACATCTCGGCGACCTTCACGACGAGCCCGCTTATCACGCGAAACAAACAGCTGAAATGGCGCCTCGCGGAGTTGCAGGCCGCGCTGGCGAGCTTGATCGTCGCCCACGCGATGGCGATGCTACGGAAAGAACCCCAATCCCTCCTCACGTCGAATCCCGCGGCCGCCGCGGACGAGGCGGAGAAAGAGGCGGCGAGGCTTGAACAACTTCACGAGCAGCTTGTGCTGGAGGTGATGTTTCTTCGGCGAAAGCTCCGCACGATGGTCGATCAACGCTATTGGCGGCATGCGCTGAAAGACGCCACCGCGGTAGCGCCCAGGGGCGGCCCGGAACCGGTCAACCCACCCCTCGGTATGCTCGGCGGACTTCTTCTATCCGAGTACCACACGAGGTTGGAGGGGTTTTTGGCTCCCTCGTCGTCTGTGGATCGCGTGGAGGGGAGGGATTCCGCACCACCCGCTTCGAGCCATCCGGCGGGCGGTACCCTCTTATCGGAGGGGCCTTCTCTGCCAACCCCACGCAGACCGCCTGCGTTGATGCGATCGATGCGGCTCCTGTGGCTTCGAGAACAGGTGGAATCCCATCAGCAATCGTTGGCATCCCTGCTCACCACCAACGCGCGACTGGTTGAATCCATCAGCAGTGTGCGCATGGTGTATGGGTTCGCGGTCGAGCCGGAAAAGGCGGGATCACTCGTGGATGCGCTGCTCACGCGGTGTGGGTTTGGTCTTCCCCCACAGAATTATCTTGGTGGGGAGGAACCGAACTTTGACGTGGCCCCGTTTTCCTCTTCCTTTCTAACGGAGCTGCAGGAGCGCGTTCTAGAAAAGTATCGTGGGCGGTTGGAGGCGGTGCAGGCAGGGGCTAACGCTTGTCTAGAGCGGCTTCGGCTCGAGGTACAGCAACGGGATCCTTACTGGCGCGGGAATCTTGCGTTTATCCTACGTATTCAGCATTTATCAGACCTCCGTCGGCTCACCACCATCCCTGGTAGGCATTCCGAAATGGTGGCGTCTTTTGGAGAGGTGCTGCGTCGTGTATTGGACTGCTTAGAGTCGAACGAAAAGCCGAGCGTCTCACATCCAGTAGGTGAGGGCGAAATTAGCGATGCTTTCAGGATTCCTGCGCTTCCTAGAAGTTTGAAGTCGCTTCAAAAGGAATTTAGAACCCTTCACAATAGCAAAGTTGACTCTAAGAAGGCAACGTGGGTAGCCCATCTACGAGAGTGCGCTGCTAAACGCGAAGAACTCGAGTGGTACGAGCAGTTCACCACGGAAGAGATCCCCGATGCGTTGGAGGAGGCCCGAAAGGTGCAGAAGCGGTTGAAGCAGGAGATTCTATCCGTTCAACGGAGTCGCGAGCTGCTGCATATCAATAAGAATAAAGCTTCTCAGCTAGATAAAGCCTTCAACGAAATTTTGGAACAGCAGAAGAACCCGCTGCGAGCTCGTGTGGACGAGCTGAGGGCGCAACTCCAGCGTCTACAAGAGGAAAACAAGGCTGCCATGGCCAAAACGTGGGTTCAAACCACCCCTGTCGAGCAACCAGGTGAGGTGGTTGCCGCACCTTCCCTCATCGACAGGTCAGAGCTCGAATGGCGCTCTTCACCGCAAGCCAATCCAGTGGGCAGTGGCTCCTCCCACCAAGATGAACAATACGAAAACGATAATGAAGTCTCTTCTGAGATGCCAACCCATTCCTACCACGACACCACCCAATCTCCACAGGATAATGAGGCTAGCGTGGATGAAGACATGGGTTTCGTACAGAATGCGGATTATTCGGGTGGATACACCCATGCTGATGTTGGGAATGAGGAGTCCGTAATGACAGGGGACCATGATGAGGAATTGAATGAGGAGGCAGCATCAGATCCTTTGGAGTTTCCCGATGAGCCCTTTGGCGGATCGGAGGGGAATTCTGCTACTGGGCATCAAGAGACTGAGTAAAGGGGATCACGTGGTGGATGCGGTGGGTTAAAGCTACGGAGCTTCAGGACAGACTCCTTACCTGAAGTAGAGACAGCAGGGGATGAGGGGTGGAAAAGGGAAGAGTGTAAAATGTGAACCTATTTCAAACAAGCGTGTTTTATTCACATTGTGTGGCATGCTATTGGTGATTGGTATAATTTCAGTTTCCTTTCCCTTTGGTCTGAGATGATGATTGCGGTGAATTCCTTTCCATATTTCCTTTTCTGTATCCTTCAAAAGCTCTGTAATTCACATAACAAGCAAACAAAAGTGAGAAGGAGTACAATTGTGACTTGTAAGATTATTATATCATTAGAACTGTCTCATTACTCGTAGGTTATACCTACCTCGACCGCGAAGATACTGGAGTCCTAGAACGTCTTAGTTGGAATATCGTGAGCGATGTGCGGGCTATCGGATCTATGTACGATTGTGTGGCCTATAATGAGAAAAGCGGATGGGCGGCTTGATTCTAATACGACTGAGGGTGGTTCCTGGATCGTGGGGTGGAATCCACACAGCCTCTCCGTTATCGTGACCGGGTTTATAAAGAAAAAGTCGCTGAAGGAGGCCACAGAGGAGCTGCAGGCGGCCAAAGAGATGCTGGAAATTTACCAGACCTTCGATGGCATGCCGCAGTACGGCAATCTTCAGATACTCGGGTACATCCGACCCTCCGCTAGTACGAATCGAGGTCGAAACGGCCTGACGGGCGGCAACGCCGCGACGCCCAGGTCCCCTGCCGGCTTCAACAATTTCTCCAGCCCTTTTGAGAACAACATGCGATTTATGCAACAGCGCAGCGATCTGTGGCTGGACCTCCTGGAAGGCCCCATCCTTGGTGAGGTTTGGTGCTGTGGGTATCGCGTGCAGCCCTGTCAACTCCACGTCATTCGCTGTGATCCGTTTAAGCAGTACTCGTTAAAGCCGACGGTGTTTAGCGCGTGCGCGCTCTACGGCCCCGCCGGGGTTCGGCGGCTGCTTCTCGGCCAGCGACCCGTCTGCTTGCCTGGGATGCAGTGCAACATGGAAGGCGTCCTCCTCCCGGACGTGATGATGGCGGAGAGCGCGCCGAAAGTGGAGAATCGCGTGCGGAGCCACGTAGCGGACTCGATGCCGAATTGGTATAACTTCGCCTTCGCCTCGACGCCGATCGAGGATCTCTCGATGTGCAGCCTCTCCGGGAGGGATTATTGGACGCCGCAGACGGTGCCGGACAGCGTCACCGGCTTGGCGCCCGGGGGGGAACTGAACAGCGGGGATGGCGAGCACCGGAGGATGAGCGATAGCATGGAGGCGGCGCTGCTGCGGTTTAGCGCCTCGCGCAACACGATGTTCGAGAGCATCCGGGCGCGGGATCTGTCGAAAAGCGTCGGAACGCTCGCGGAGCCGCTCGCCGGGGTGCCCCCGCGACTCGATTTCCCCACCAGCGTGGACTTCTCCGAGACCGGGATCGCACTGGCGATGTGCTGCCTCGGCGGGAACGTCCAGCGTATCCTTCTCGGGATGAAGCCGGTGCGCATGTTTCATGAGCAGATGGGAGGTTTGGAGGCTCTCGCGCATGGGTCTAGTTCGACTCCTGGCGTGATAAACTCCAAATCGTCCCATTTCTCGAGGTTCCTTGAGGGAATGAAAAAGGTAGGTCTCACGGGGATCCCCGTGAGCCCATGCAAGACGAGTGATTCTACCTTGTCCGCATGTGGAAAGGAGCGCCAGAAGGTTACCCCCAACGCCTCTATTGTCTCTTTATCACCTTATATTCACCATGTGCTAGCATTTCTAATGTACGGAACCCTCATCCTACTCCGGGGTCTGAAACCGTTCAGTCGGTTCTCGTGGTTTGCGGAGGTCATGGAGCTTCGACTCCGGGAGTTTGTCAATTTTGTTTCACTGTTAGACGGTCAAACCACCTCGTGTGGACTTCATCCCGTTCTCCCCCACCAAGTGGCACGGAATGTGAAGCAGCAGCACTTCTGTTATCTGAATTACCTTGGTCGCTACCTGACGGATCTTGTACTGGGGATGTTTATAACCTTTCTGATCTTTCACATGTCGAATATGCATTCGGCGGTGCAGCATCTCTCGCGGTATTCTCTGTTTAACCTACACATGTCCTATATGGACTGGTTTGAGGGCTGGCCGGCGGGTCTTAAAATGAATGATGACTTTAACGCCTCGTTGGGGTTCTTCGCCACGTTGGTGCTCACCACGTGGGATCGCTTCTTAAGCTTTACGTGGGGGAGCGAGCCCCGCTCGGAGGATGAAAAGACCTACGCCTGGATCACCTATGTTTATATCCTCTTGTTTTACATCTCTCTCATGGGTGCCAGCACGGCCCTGGCTTTCCTAGCCGATGTGATTGGGCTCATCACACTCCACCTCCACTTCCTGTATCAATCCATGGCCTTAGTGTATCGCCTTGCCAAGGAGTTATTCGTGAGTTTGTTCAACCAATTTCGCGGTAAGAAGTACAACAAACTGCGGAACCGCACAGACGCCTACGAGTTCTCGGTTGAACAGATGCTAATTGCGACATTTCTGTTCACCATCACCTTCTTTTTGTTCCCCACTGTTGCCGTGTATTATCTTTATTTCGCCTTCGTCCGGACCTCTGTTTGGATCGTTCAGGAAAGCCTAATTGAGCTTTCCCACCTCCTCCTCTACACCCCTTTCTTTCAGATCATTCACTGGGCAATGTTCCGCCGCCAGTACATCGGTGGGATGGTGCTGTCCGATCCTATCATCACCATGACCCTCAAGAACCCCGCATCACCCCATGCGGGCGCGCCCAAACTAGGAAACGATATGAGTAGCAGCAATTTTAGTGGCATTCACCACGAAAAGCTCTCCACCACGGTGGAGTTGTCTGTTGAATCGATTCCTCTCCCGCTATCGTCTGTGCTCTCGGATTTTTTAGTGGTGCTAGGGGTGCTTGGTAGGCTCTTAATGCCGACACGTGTGTTGTCTTTATTGAAGAAGGGAGAAGCGTATGGATGGCTTGAAAGTCCTATTCATGACTTGATTCCGCATTTGCTAGAGAATTGTGTCGATCCTCGCTGTACACTACTGCGTGGCGAAAAAACGGAGGGGACGGATGCAGCAAAGCCTCTATAAGAGGGACGAGTAAGTTACCAAAGATGAATATAGAGACTTCTTCATTAGTACCATCATGCAAAAGTAGGACGAATGTTTATACTATTGCAAGATTTGTGACTCCAGTTTTTCTTCCCTTACAGATTTAACAAAGATAAATGTAAGAGCTGCTGATATTTAAGCGATATTTTCATTAGCTATATGGGCCTTTAGCCTTGTAAACAATTTGCTGATGGATCTGTTTGAATGGGGTGGATCTTCATTGTATACGTTAATTCTGTAATAATCCTTACAGCTTGTATTTGCGTGTTTCAGGGATCCCCTTTATATTGGATATTTAAAGAATGCGCATCAGATTCTTGTTCACGGGCTAATCTTCTAGATTCTTATTAAGCTCACTCTTATCGAAATGTATTCACATTTTCCAACCTCTTTTCTTATTTGCCCATGCTTCTCTTTTGCATTTGCTCGTGCCATTTAAGGTTTGTTTTGTATTGGCCCTTCTAAGGCGAATCGTATATACGTAGTGCGTTAGCGTATCGTTTCTCTCTTGGCAAGTGCACGCATCTTTAATTTACCTGAGGAGGTACGATTAGGGTTTAAACAAATAAGCGGTAAAAGATTTTGAATATTGAATTTTCACATTACATTTTAAACTTTATTTGGTGTGCGAGTGTGTGCGTGATAAACAAGCCTTGTACTAGGTTAAAGATAGTTTCACTTTCCTAATTTTTTTTTTAAAAGAACGAACGAGCAGACAGAATTAAGAACAAACACTTTACGGTCATAACTTTAATAGATAAACATATTAAGTAATTGAGGGTGTCTGAACCGAGTTCATGACTACCCATCCTCACGTCTCTTCCTTACCTGATGTCGCGAGCGGCCCTCGGTCTTCCCGGGCTTCCTTCGCGTATCCGATGCAGATGATCGGGCCTTATTGCGTAGGGGAGACAGTTGGGCGGGGAAGCTTTGGGAAGGTTAAGAAGGGGTGCCATTTACACACTGGTGAGCCTGTTGCCATAAAAATCCTTAACCGCCAGAAGCTAAAGAAGGCCAATATGGGGAAGAAAATTTACCGAGAAATCGAAATCCTTCGGCTCTTCTCACACCCCAACATCTGCAGGCTTTATGAGGTTATATCAACTCCAACGGATATATACCTAATTGTAGAGTATCTGGAAGGAGGCGAGTTATACGATTACATCGTTCAGAGGGAAAGAGTCAGCGAGTCGGAGGCGCGTCATATCTTCCAACAGATTGTCTGCGCCATCGAGTATTGTCATCATTTTCGAGTGGTGCATCGCGATTTGAAGCCCGAGAACATTCTGCTTGGTCCTGGGCTGCAGGTCAAACTTATCGACTTTGGTCTATCAAACATTATGCGCGACGGTGAGTTTCTGACGACGTCATGCGGCTCTCCGAACTACGCAGCGCCAGAGGTCATCTCTGGGAAGCTCTATTTCGGTCCCGAGGTCGATGTCTGGTCATGTGGCGTTATCCTGTATGCCCTGCTGTGTGGATGTCTCCCCTTCGACGAAGATAGCATTCCGCAGCTCTTTGGAAAAATCAAGAAGGGGAAGTACGTGATCCCACCCGATATGCCAAGTGGGCCACGCGAACTGATCCAACAGATCCTCGTCGTGGACCCCCTTATCCGGCTGACCATCCCCCAGATACGTGATAACGTCTGGTTCAACGTCCGACTGCCCGCCCACCTGGCCTACCATGAGTCGATGTTCACCGTGCAGGAGGACCGCATCCACTCCGTCCTCGCCAGTGAGACGGCGAAGAAGCTCGGCATCCGCGAGACGGACGTCAGACGTGAGCTGAAGCGCGGTTACGGCCCCGCCTTCGTCGCCTACAACATTCTCATGGAGGCGAAACGGCGGCGCGAGATCACCGCCGAGACGAAGGAGCTCGCCGCCGCTCCAGGGGACCTTTCCGGGTCCGGCGGCAGCGGCGCGGGGGGTGGGACCGGGGCCGCCCCACGTCCGTCCCGTTCCGGCGCCTTTCAGCCACACGCGACGGAGCGGGAGCTGAACATGGGCCTGATGCTGTCCCAGAGCCCCGGGATGGAGGTGCTCCTCAACCACGGGG